AATAAATATAAATAAATAAATAAATATAAATAAATAAATAAATAAATATAAATAAATAAATAAATAAATAAATATAAATAAATAAATAAACAAATATATTTTACTTATAATAATTATATTAATTAATTTAGCTGTAACAAAAACAACAAAAGCAAAAATATAAAAAAATAAATAAAGACAAATAAAACAAAAATAAATAAAATAAAAAACAGAAACAAATAAATAAATGAACAAAAAAATAAATAAAAACAAATAAATAAAATAAACAAATAAAAAAAACAAACAAATAAAATAAGCAAACAAACAACAACAAACAAAAACAAGGAAGAACAAATAAATAAAAACGAATAAAAAAAACAAATAAATAAAATAAACAAAGAACTAGATAAATAAATAAAAAAAAATAAATAAAATAAATAAAACAAACGAACCTCTGTCTAGCTTTGTTTATATTTTTTATTGCAAGCAAACGGCCCGTGCGCTTGCAGCGAGCTTCATATACACTAGCAGTGCTGAACACACAAACCCTAAACCCTAAACCCTAAACCCTAAACCCTAAACCCTAAACCCTAGAGCATTAACCCTAAACCCTAAACCCTAAACCCTTATTCAGTGATTCACAGGAAATCATTATACACCCTAAACCCTAAACCTTTTTTGCACTTTTAAACTAAACCCTTATTGTACAAAACCCTAAACCCTAAACCCTAAACCCTAAACCCTAAACCCTAAACCCTCACTATCCGGATCCGAGTTTGCGTCCCAGCTCATAGTAGTCATTGATATTTGTAATTTTTCGTGGCTCGCCTAGGTTTTCTCTGCTGAAGGAGTTTCTGCTGCTGCTGCTGCTGCTGCTGCTGCTGCTGCTGCTGCTGCAGCTGAAGGGAGGAGGAGGAGCAGCAGCAGCAGCTGCTGCTGCTGCTGCAGCAGCAGCAGCAGCTGCTGCTGGAGCAGGGGTGCCTAGAGTCAGGCGCGATGTCTTAACCTGAGCCATCTGCTGTTTATCTTTGGCCTGCAATGCAGCAGCAACAGCAGCAGCAGCTGCAGCAGCAGCAGCTGCAGCAGCAGCAACAACAGCAGCAACGGAGGTGCAGCGGCGAGTCAGGCATGCGGCGTCCTGCTGCTGCTGCTCCTACTCCTACTACTACTACTACTGCTGCTGCTGCTGCTGCTGCTGCTGCTGCTGCTGCTGCTGCGAGCCCTTCACATATCGCCGAAGGGAATCCGGTGGTGGTGTGTTGGTGTTAGCTGTGTTTCAGTGGTTTGGCCCCCTAGAGAAGAAAAAGAAAAAAAAAAGAAAAAAAAAAGAAAAAGAGGAGGAGCAGCAGAAAACAAAAGACTTATGGGCTCCTGCTGGGTCTGTATATACATAAAGGAAAGAGAAGAATGCCGCTTAAACATCAGCAGCTGTTTTCAGGTGTATGTACACCTCGTGCTGTATTGCGTGGCTGCTTATTGAAACAGTAAGAAACATATACACACACCCAGGGAGGGGGTAGGAGAGAAACCCTTATATATGGGCCCCCTTCAGATGATTGGGGTGTATATTGAGGTTAAAACTACAAAAATAAACGTTTTTTTGTATATTTTTATGGTGAAATCGACAGACAAAGAAAGCAGAAAAGGGAAGCGCAATGGCGGCGCTGCAGTGTATGTACAGCTGGATGGTCTGGTTGTGTAGCAGCCACCAAAAGGAAACGAAATAAAAGTAAATGTTTTTTATTTTTAATTTAAATTCATAAACTTTAGATGATAAATATAAAACAGAAAACACACGCAAATACACAAACAAATACCGAGAGAGAGCAGGTGTACAGACGCCTCAAATGTCGTCAGTGCCTCCAGCAGCTACCGCGGCGGTGTAGTTGTTTTTTCTGTATTGTGAAAAAAAAAGAATAAATGTAAATATAAATAGATCTAAATAAATATAATTAACAAAATAAAACTTTATAACACAAGAAGAAGAAAAATACACCGAAAAAACACACTACATTCCCTGTGCCTTTCATGCAGCTTTGTCTCATCCATACCCAGTTCAATAACGGCCTACATAAGATACAAAAAAAATAATTAAAATTCTATTTTATATCCTTTAATTTCCGTTTAAAAAGTTTTTTTAATTATTTTATTTTATTCATTCCGCTATAATATTTAAATATTTCCCCGAAATAAAATTAATATGCTTTCATTCTCCTGCATCGCAGCCGATACCAGCTGGGGTGTATGTACAGCTCTCTGTACGTACAGCCCGTGCACACAGAAATTCAACTTTTCGAAATTCTGCTCAATTTTGATTTTCTTTTGAATCATTATAATTTAAATTTCGAAACTTTCACAAAAATATCAAAAAAAATAAATTTTATTGATTTTTTCTCTGCATACACCTCGCGGTGTTGCCGCCCCCCGCTCGTGGTCTCTGTGTGTTTCTGCTTTCTTGTTGGGTGTAACGGGGGGATGCTATGCAGTTTTTAATTAATTTATTTATTTAAAATATAAATAAATTATAAATATTATATAGGAGAGGGTTTAAAAGACGCATATGAAGAAACTCCTACTCTGTGCAGTATAAAAACTGTAAAATTGTGGTGTATGTACACCTCAAGTGTAACATAACTTTCACTCTACCTCTTTCTGGGTCTATGCATTTATTTTAATATATTTCTTTTATGATGAATGCGTTCATAACCCTTACACATATCCCTAGTAAACGTCTAAACCCTAAACCCTAAACCCTAAACCCTCGAGCTTTGTGTGAGCTGTATGTGGTAGTGTATTATGCTTGCCTTTATCTTCTTTCTTAACTTTATTTGTAAACCCTTTGTTTGTTTAGGGTTATTTATAATACCCTCAGATACATAAACCCTAAACCCTAAACCCTAAACCCTAA